CATATCTGGAATTAGTCCCTATCACAAATGGTAATCATTGACATGAGAGGTAATAGCTCCTATTTGCTGATGGTGGTAAGATTTGGATCGGTGGACTTTCCATTAAGGAGGGTGCTCCCGTTACAGTTAAGGTAATTTGGGCTATAAGGGGGTATACCCCTGTTCAACGCTGGCAATTTTCGATCACCAGAGAGCCCCTATACAACGACTGAACAGTAAACCGATTCTAGGGGAATCGGAATGGATGATTGCTCGATATCTGGCTGCAAGGAGCACAAATATCATGGCATTGCAGTAAATACTACCTGTATTCGAGGTTATGTACACTCCAGTTATATATAGCACCCAAGTACGAGCCTCTGCATTATATTCTAGAATTACTGGGCACATCTATCTAATTTTCGGGTCGCTGCACGTTGTTATCGCAGTCGCTGCGAGATCAGCTTTTCGTCCAATCATACGGGATTATAAAAGCAGGACCCCATGACCGCCGATGAGTGGCTGTAAGGGGAAGCGCCCATGTGGCGCGTGTTTGAGTATGTTTGGTCGCGACGCGACTTAGAAGGAAGTTTGGATATACGTAGCTTGGCAGACAACTACTACCTTCTACTCTAAGGAATACTCCTGTACTCGTGTATCTGTTCGCAATACGACGAGGGTTCACTTAGCCCCGGTGTGTGATAGCTACATACTGTACTGACGTTTTCCTACACTTTTTTAAGTGCTCACCGCGTTCAACTCCGTGTTGACCGCAACGTATTGTGACGGTACCAACGTACCAACCCACACTCTTTTGAAATGACAACTCCTTCGACGACAACTACTTCGGGTCACCACGCTGATCTCTCCTTCGACCCGGTGGCTCATTCAACGCTTACTGGCGACAATGGCTCGACCGAGGACGACGACACACTGCGTCAATCGCAGCGTACTCCTTCACGCAATCGTCAAGGCCCATCCCGCCCTAATAGTAGGGTCGAAGACGACTCCGATCGCTTTGTACGCCGCATTAGGAACTTCCAACGTACTGGCGTGCGTGATATCGAGGAACGCTCAGCTAGAGGCGATACCGCGGATAGCGAGGACGATCGGCGGATCGTGGACGATATGCTATCGGAATACAGGGACTTCGCCGATCGCATAGCTAGGCAATTCGATCGCAGAACAATCTCTCCCGACGGAATTCGTCGTGCCAATAGCGCAGTAATCGAAGGCCAACGACGGATCGAGGAATTTACTGCTTATGCTAGGCGGTCTGTAGCTGGTTCCTCAGGTTCTCCCAGTCGCCGTTCTGCGATGGATAGGCGGACGCTTGACGATCTAACGCTGGACAGCAACATCGCAGCGTCGCAAGGCGAAGTCAAGCGTGAGGCATCGCTTCTTAATAACCCCCAAGGGGTGAGGTACCCTATATTGGGAGGTACGCCATCGGTGGGCCAGCGTACATCAAATACGCCGCCAGAAGTGTTACCTGCCATGACAGGCGTAACACAGCAGCCTGTTGTCGGAGGACCCATCCCTGATACACTCCCTGCCAACGCGCAGATGCCCCAGCAATGGGAAGGCGCTCAAGCGCAGACTGGCATATCACGCAGAGATGCAATGATGCAGCCTACATCAGCCAGTCAATGGGCAGTAAATCAGCCTCAATGGCGCGGAGGCCATCCGTATATGATGAATCCCGCACTTAACCAGCGCGAAGTACCTCCGCATATGAATATGCAACACCCATCCCCCCAGCGCATTAATGAGATGGCTCCTGGGTCGCGAGTTGGTGTCTTGCATCCTGCCAATTGGACAGCAGCAACGATGGATGGTGCTAGTTCTGCCCCGGTCGGTTATGTGGCCGAGAATGGGCAGTTCTACCGTCTTGGGTCAAGTCCGGGCCATATACGACCTAAGGAAGAACCACTATCGCAGGGAATGCAACAGGCACTACCGCTTCCTACTCAGCCTCAATCTATGGGTTATTCTCAAGGCGTGATGCATGACAACCGGTACATGCATGCAGATCCTAACTACGCACAATGGCAACGTATCTATGCCGAAATGCAGAATCAACAACCCCAGGGAGTGGATAATCGACGAATGGCCCAAGGAGGCGGCATGCCGGGTGGAACGCCCGGTGGAGACCCCGATGACGATCCTCTTCGTGGAGGAAATAATCCCCATGGGAATCATCCGCGTGGCCACCCTTCCTTTCCCGCTGGAGGCGGAGGTGGTGGTGGTGGTGGAGGACCCGGGGGTGGAGGCGGGGGTGGAGGCGGAAATCCTCATGGCAATGGAGGCAACGGTGGACGCGATAATGGTCGAGAGCCAGTAGACCGTCGACGAGTCCGAATGGCTGACGGCGGCGACCCCGGAGGCGGGGAATCCCCCGACCCTAACGGCGATGGTAGCTTCCGTGGCCCACAAGACAATCGCCCAGGGCGCCAGCGTCAGCAGACCCCCTACAATGACTATGAGGATAAAATGATGATACGGTTACGCCGCATAATCGCGGATAGACGCCGCAGAGCTCTCCCTGCTAACCCCAGCCTCAAGAATTTGAAGCGACCAGCTCCCCGCACTTACAGTGGTAAAGCGGACATAGTTGAATTTGAGGAATGGTTACACTGTGTACTCGACGAGTACGATGTCATCGGTCTCGGCATGGCATCGGAGAACGGTCAGCAAGTCGCACGACTATCATTATTTTTGACTGGCGACGCCAATCAATGGTATCGCAAGGTCGTTATGGACGTTGACCGTGAAGTGGCTAACTGGGAATTTCCCGATTTAATTGTCGAGATGTTCCGACGGTTCATGTATACTTCTACACCCCGAGAAGCCAATGATCGCTATGACGCGATCAAATATTCGAGTCGCGGTGTTAAGAAGATGAAAGACGAGATGGAGTACTGGGCTCAACGCCGAGTACAACCACCCAGCGACTACGACTTCCGTCGTTCTGTGTTCAACAGGCTTCCTGAACGCTTGAAGTATGAAGTCAGTGTCACTAAAGGTGTTACCCCGGAGACGGACACGCTCGACTCCATGATTGAGAAAATCGAGGAAGTCGAGCGCGGATACACCTATCATGGTCTTTCACTGGTAGTGAAGCCCGACAGTAAGGGTCGGGTGCCTCATGGCCAAATCCCTCGGCGTCACCCTCAACGTAGTACCCAGCCTCAGCCAGACCGGAACGCACCTCGTAAGGACATACCGTCCAACCAGCACTCAGCTCAGCCAGTGCAGGACAATGCGCGCTCTGCACCGGCTCGCAACCCGGGCAATAATCGCCCGTATTTCAATCGAGGACAAAGTCGGCCTCCACAGCGCCCCGCGCCACCGCGTCGCTCCATGGGCCCCCGCCCGCTTCCTCCAGCTCGAGTACAAGGTGCCCCAAGTGATAATAAGTGTTTCAACTGTGGGTCACCTGGTCATTACGCGAATAACTGCCCACGGAAAGGCGAGAAAATGCGTGCCATGGAAGACAACCCACTGGAGGATGAGCTGGAAGCTCACACTGTGCATGAACTGGATAATGATGATCCTGCCGACGAGCTTCAGGCCATCGGCGAGGAGACCAACCAGGACAACTATGACCCTGATTCTTACGAAGGGTCCCAGTATGAATCTCCCGAGGATGAGGATGATCATTTCGGGCATATGCGTGACGGGTTCAGCGACGACGAACCTGATCATGCCGCTGGTGTTGTATCCGATGATGATGATGACTACCCCGTAACTCAAGCCCGGTTCTACGCAATGACCGAATTTGAGGAAACTCTGTCACCTGATGAGTTCTTAACTGGCGAAGTTCGGGACAACCGCAATTTTCTAACGGGAAGTATGGAGAGCGACTCGGACTATTACTCGGCATCATCCCGCTCGGATACTGGTTTTCCTGCACCATTCCAGGATGGTGACACACGAAGTGTTGACTCAGATGGCCCTGCTCAGACTGTTTGGGGCCAAGAGCGCCATGTTCCTTCGGGAACTGCTTCATCGTCGCACACGCAGGAGCAATTGACGTACATGCTTGAGGTCATAGCTCATATGCAGGTTGAACGCGATGAGCACTTGGCACGTATTGCCCAATTGGAGCAAGATAATCAACAGCTACGCCAGGAACTCGACCGTGTTCGACCTAAGGCTGCACTAGCGGATGATCTTCGTGACGATTTATTGTCACTTCGAGCAGAATTACATTCTTGGATTGAAGATGACACCCCGCGGTTATACGTCGCCAAGGACGCACATGGCGTGGTCAAAGAGCCACTCGGTGCTGGTGACAGCATACCAGTTCGCAATCGCGTAGTCCTTCGCGATCGCCCGGGTATGCGACCAGTACGTCCTATGTCAGAACGTCGTTGTATGACAGGATTTGTTCGCATTAATGGGGTAGACGCGCTTGCATTATTTGATTCTGGCAGTACATTGGACTGCATCCGCCCGGAGTTTGCACGGATAGCTAATGTCGTATGTTATGATTTGAAGAATCCTACCTCATTACAATTGGGTACTGTGGGCAGTCGCTCTACTGTCACCAGGGGTACGGATATACAGTTCCACATCCATGACCAGCAGGTCACTCAGTACTTTGATATTGCTAATATCGATCGGTACGACATTGTGTTCGGCACCCCGTTTTTACGCGCCGCGGGTGTCATACTCAACTTTGGAAACGACACACTTACTGTATTCGGTAAGGTAATGCCCTCGCCAACAAGGGGGGAGGATGTAGGAAGAGCCGTAGGGCCCACCCGACGCGTTCGTCCATTACCGAAACTTCCTTTCGAAACCAAAGGACAGCGCCCACTACCGGCTGTACCTAAAGCAGTGACTCGAGGTGTAAGGATGCCGACCACGAGTAAAGCTGCCCCGAGTGGCAATCGCCCTGAATGACTAGCCTCGCAAACCGTAACTCAGCGGCGGACTCCGCGTCGAGTCACCATAGAGGAAGTCATCGACGAGGAATTCACTAAGCCTCGTTTGAACATAAACGGCCCGCTACTGGAATATATTGGTGACGAATCGGTATTGGCAAATGTACCCTCTAGCACTCAGGATTCAAACCCTACGGGAACTAGAGGAAAGGACAAGGTTAACATAACTCAGTCGAAAGACCCTCCACCGGAACGCGCCAAGGCTAGACGACGTGTCCCGGTTAATCACTCCGCGCAAAGAGCTCCCCATGGTCGCGCTATTACCCCTGAGCTTAGGAGGGACTTCGCTCCCGCGATTCATTCATCGATGGAAACGCCTCGCGATAAATTTGGGTTTGAAGACCCCTTTGGTATTAATGAACAATTACTTGACGCCGCTGAGGAATGTCTCAACGCAGCGGCCGACGAGAAAGAACTTAGTGCCGAGGACATTCCCTCATTACGCGAAGCATGGTTCGACAAATGCAAGAAGATCCTTGGTGAAATACCGCTGAAGCTCCCTCCCTTGAGACCTATTAATCATCGAATCCCGATAATTGATAACGATAAGAAGTATCATTATCATATGCCGCGTTGTCCTGACGCAATGAAACCGCTCCTATCGGACAAGATCAAGCGCTACACTCAGGCTCAATGGTGGAAGGAAATCACTGTCAGTCAGGCGGCTCCCTTACTGTGTATCCCGAAAAAGGACGGTCGACTACGGACGGTAGTCGATTGCCGGCAAAGGAACGACAACACGGAAAAGGATGTCACCCCATTTCCAGACCAGGACCAAATTCGCATGGATGTAGCCCGAGGGAAGTATCGGTCGAAGATCGATATGTCCGATGCATACGAACAAATTCGTGTTGAAGATGCAGACGTTCCTAAAACTGCATTCGCCACTATCTACGGTACATTCTGGAGTCTGGTCATGCAGCAAGGGGACTGTAACGCGCCTGCTACCTTTCAAAGGCTTATGACTTACATCTTTCGGGAGTTCATTGGTATCTTCGTACATGTCTATTTGGACGACATCTTCGTATTCTCGAATTCTATCGAAGAGCACGAGAAACATCTTGGACTGGTATTCGATAAGCTGAATGAATTCGAAATGTACCTGAGCCGGAAGAAATGCGATCTGTACTCGGAGAAAATGGACTGCCTGGGTCATATAATTGATGATCGTGGACTTCACGCCAACTCGGACAAGATGGCTCGTATCCGTGAATGGCGAATCCCCAGGTCGTTCAATGAAGTCCAGCGTTTTCTTGGACTTGTCAACTATCTTGCTCATTTCATGCCGGACGTATCTGCTTTTACTGGACCATTATCGAGCATGTGTCGAAGCAACCGTTCATTCATTTGGCTACCTATACATGATAAGTGCTTCGAGTCCATAAAAGCTATGGCGTGTAAATCCCCCATACTTCGACCAATCGACCCTAGTCTGAAGGAGCCCATATGGGTCATTTGTGACGCATCAGTTTCTGGTGTCGGTGCCGTGTACGGGCAAGGCGACGATTGGCGTAACTGTCGACCGGCTGGATTCATGTCCAAAAAGTTCACTGCCGCTCAGCAGTCTTATCGGACATTCGAGCACGAGACAATTGCTATACTCGAGGCTCTCCTCAAATGGGAGGATAAACTCGTGGGTCGTCCTATCAATATAGTGACCGACCATAAGGCTCTCGAGTTCTTCAAGACCCAGCGTAAATTGTCTTATAGGCAGACCCGCTGGATGGAATACCTTAGCCGATTCGACTACACTATACGCTACGTTAAAGGAAAATCCAACAAGGTTGCTGATTGCTTTTCACGGTACTATGAGAACGATCGAAAGGATGAGCATCAACCGGCAGACGAGTATGTCTCGGCTGACCGTCGACTGGATCCTAGCCTTGAGGACTTACCCCCGGCTCGCGCAGAAGAACTACGCGCGATGCGCGTGGGACCTGACGCCAATGATGTACCTCAGCCCCGCCGATCCGCGCGACTCCGTGAGCTGGCTGTTCAAGAAGACCGTCGTAAACAAGCTGAGGAGATGGCCAAGGCTGCCGCGGCTACGGGTACTGTGCCCGCTGTCAAGCCTACCAAGCCGCAGAAGTCTAAGGTTATAGTGATCAAGGATAATCCTACCGCACTCGAATCAGTGGCCAATACACGGACTCTCAAGGAGCGTGTGGAGGGTGATGCAGAGTTGATCAATACCATCAAGAATGGATACGAATCTGATGATGTATTATCGAAGCTGTTCAGCCAATCAAAGGATAAATCTCCCGCTGGTCAGAAGGATCCCCCGGTCATTCATCATCGACAATTCGAGTTTGATGACGGATTCTTATGGCGAAAACTCGACGAGGAATCTCGTGTGATCTGTATACCGCGAGTACCGTATGGCCGACGCATGCTAACCGAAGTCGTACTCGACATGTGCCATACGATCATTGGACACTTGGGACCGCAGCGAACTCTGGCTTATATACGGCGCTGGTACTGGTGGCCTCGACTTGCTGCCGAGGTTGACAAGTTCTGTGCTTCATGTGGTGTTTGTCAGACGAGCAAGCCGTCTTACCAGAAACCTGCGGGACTACTTCATTCGATGCCCATTCCATCTAGACCTTGGGGCTCCATCGGGATGGATTTCGTTGGCCCTTTCCCACCGTCCGGTCCAGAGAAGTACGATTACCTTTGGGTAGTGATTGACCGTCTTACGTCCATGGTACACCTCGTACCATTGCACACTACTGCGCGTGCAACTGATATCGCTTGGCTGTACTTTCGCGATATAGTGCGCCTTCATGGAATGCCTGACTCTATCGTGTCTGATCGAGACGCCAAATTCACTGCGCGGTTCTGGCGTGAACTCCATCGGTTACTCGGCACTCAACTGCTTATGTCTACGGCTTTTCACCCGCAAACTGATGGTGCTTCAGAACGAGCTATTCGTACTATTACTCAGATCTTGCGGTCTGTTGTAACGGCAGATCAATCCGACTGGATCGAAAAGGTTCCCATGGTGGAGTTCGCGCTCAATTCTAGCGTAAGCAAGAGCACCGGATTCGCGCCTTTCGAACTCAACTATGGTACTATGCCACGGATTGCTACGGCATTGAAGCCTGAAGCCGTTATGCCGGGTGTTCGCCAATTCGCGGGACAGGCGCTACTGAATCTCGCCAAAGCTCACGATGCGATTATCGAAAGTCGGATCACACAGACTTATTATGCTAACAAACGGCGTCGTGAGGATACCCCCTACAAGGAAGGGTCTCTGGTCTATCTGTCTACGGCAAATCTCAACCTTCCCAAGGGCCGAGCGCGTAAGCTCACGCCTCGGTTTATTGGCCCTTACGAGGTCGTAAAAAGCCACCCGGAGACGTCTACTTATACGCTCAAGTTGCCACCCGAGCTTACTCGGCGGCGCATCCATCCGACGTTCCATGCTAGTATGTTACGGCCCCACGAGGGGAACGACGACTTGTTATTTCCTCATCGTGAAGCTCTTACGACTTATGATTTTGGAGAGCCAAACGATGTTGAATGGCTCGTCGAGGAGATACTTGCTCATCGTTGGGTCGGCAACAATTTACAGTTTTTAGTTCGCTGGCATATTGGCGAAGCTACTTGGGAACCTCAAAAGTCTTGTGACGAACTTGAAGCACTCGATAATTACTTAGCGCTACAAGGAGTCCAGCAATGCAAGGACTTGCCCCGACGCGCGCCTAATCGACTTAGCGCCACCAGTGGCAACAAGCGCTCGTAGTCGAGATACCTCGCGCCACAGTGGCTGTGTACAAATTGATACCCCGACATATAACTCCGCGCGTCGTTCATTTTCTTTCTCTCTCTCGCAACTTTACTACCTCGACCATCGTCCGTCGGCAAACTCTAGTCTCACCCAGCATCGCGATGTCTAACCTTTACTTCGGGCAATTCGGTAACCGCCAAGCACTCAAGGAGGCCTGGCATCGGGCCAAGGCCCCGTCATACCTCAAGAGGGACCCCAAGGGCGCTGTTGAAGCCGCCCTCGGCATCGCCGACATGTACGCGGAGCGCGCCAGCCGCGCGCAGGCTCGAATCCAAGCATTGGAGCAGGAGATTCGGTGGTGCCGTGAGGAGAACCCGGACTCGCAGGTGCACGATCACCCTGCCGATCCTGTTGACCCGCCCCCTCGCAGTGCGTATTCTCAGTCCTTCGCGCAGTATGACATCCGTGTCCCGGGACCGCGCCAGCGCCGCGATGACTCGCACGCCGACCGCGACGAACAATTCCGCGGCTACGCGTTCCGTGAACGCGATCGCACAGATGACTTGCCCCGCGGACGCTCGCCATACCGTCGCGAGCCGTCGTTCGGCCCATACCGCCACCGCGAAGACAGCCTCGGCCGCCGCGACCATCGCAGTCGCTCTGGCCCATTCTATGGCAACAAGACATGGCGACGTAGGGATGACCGATCCCCCACACCGCGCCCACCATCGCCCGCGCCACGCCCACCGTCCCCTGCCCGCCCGCCCCCGTTCCAGCACTACCAGCCGCGCACCGACCGCCACTCTCGCCAGCGCGCGCAAAACTGGAAGAACGGCAAGGGCAAACGCCGTGACAACCACACCGGCCCTCTGCCCCCTCAGACGATGCGCCCCTGGCCACAATCGGCGGCATCGGGCCCGTCCCAAACCCCCGTAGACGCGCCCGCCCCCGGCGACGCGCACCCGCCTGCCGGCGCGACCGACCCACAGCCTGGTACAAGCCAAACCCCCGTATGGGGCGAGTCGACGGCGTCCACCTCCGACTGGGGGTTCGGCTTTGGATGGGGGGGAGCGGCGGCGGTTGCGACCACCGTCGCGCATAACCTCACCGTCGACGATATATTCCGACGGATAACGGAGCAACCGGAGCTGGCCCCGGCGGGAGTAGTAGGCAAGAGCGAGGAGGAGACGAAGCGCCGCATCCGGGTGTGGAAGTGGCTGGCATGCATAGGGTCTCAGCAGACGAACCGTGAGGGATTCGTCAGTCGCGTACTCTATCTTCTGCGAACGCGACGCTATACCGCGTTCGTCGAGGAAAGCGCATACCCCATCGAGGAGGAGCACAAGACCACCAGCTATCTTGGTGGGTATGAGGCGGATACCGCCATTATGAGGCACTTGGCTGACTGCGGGTTTCCGTCTGAGGGCGAGTGGCTGGACATGGCCACCCAGCTCGCTGTAGCCCGCGAGCCGCGGCTGCTGCTCCCCCATGACCCGTTGGCTTGAGGGAGAGTTCCTCGTCATGGTGTATGCTACCGTTTCTTGGTCGCCCGCGCGGACTGTATATTATCATCGTCATCGCTATCGTCTTGTCTCGCATTCCGATTGCTTTCTTGTTGCTTTCCCGATTACTCGGACGTTAGCTTAATATGGCATAATTATGACCGAGCGGTCATTGTAATATTCAAGCACCTAGTGCTATTATACCCAACCTCTACACTCGTTGAATATGATTGTCTCTTCGGCCCCAGTGATTACCGTGCCCTCGCTCTAAGAGGGGAGGATGTAAGGGGAAGCGCCCATGTGGCGCGTGTTTGAGTATGTTTGGTCGCGACGCGACTTAGAAGGAAGTTTGGATATACGTAGCTTGGCAGACAACTACTACCTTCTACTCTAAGGAATACTCCTGTACTCGTGTATCTGTTCGCAATACGACGAGGGTTCACTTAGCCCCGGTGTGTGATAGCTACATACTGTACTGACGTTTTCCTACAGTAGTCCAATTAGATGAATTGAATTGTGTGGACCAGTCACGGCAAGTATTCTCCGTCATAGCAGTAACTTGAATATGGATTGAGCACACTGCTGCAGAGTGTGGCGGACTCAGGAGATTTGGATCCGGGCCGAGATAGCCGACCGACAATTCGGACAGTACTGG